TTACACAATGTCACTATGAACCTAATAAGTAACATTACTTCCTATACATCATCACCATGAATACATTAATCACTAGTGATTTTTTTTGATGCTTTAACATTATTGATCATCAAGAATCCGTTAAATGTTAAATCGTTAGCTTTTAAAATGAAGATTATCTTTTTAAACTATAAACTACGAGTAATCACTATCTTGTAGGTATATCTTAATATGTATAATTAAAAGGAACAAATGCACGGTATTTTCAACGTCAAGTAATAGTTAAATATATTAAATGTTCATTTAAAATAATAAATGCACAGCAAAACATTAATTGTTTCTAGCTATTAACATACCTATAGGATGTAATGAATGTCATAACAGCTGCAGATGTCAGTTTGAAATCCGAGCGAGTTTGCGAGCGAGGATTTTAAGACATCTAAGGCTGTTATGACATTATTACATCCGAGGTTTGTTCAAAATTTTATCGGTTTCTGTCGAAATTAAATCCAAAAATTGGAACAAATTAATTCCAAAAATTGGAACAAATTAAATCCAAAAATTCTAGGATGTTATGACAGCTGAAGATATAAAAATATACGCTTAGTACACAAAATGATAAACGCTCAGAAAAATGATTGTAATTGCTCAATAAAATATTAAATATTCAGTAATACAGTAATAAATAATATTCTTGGGCGGGGACCATATTATAAGTTRCAGAACTTTGTTTTACTGTGTAAATTGCAGTTAGATACTGTGAAGATGGCATTTTTTTAATGTGTAATACAGTGGTTTACTTATAGTTTATTTTTTTACTGTGCAAATTACTATATTAGGTGTATTTTTCATTTCTAGTTTTTTACCGTACAAAAGGTAATTAAATACTGTTTATTAAAGTAACATATTGTTGCACTTCTATTTATTTGTGTCCAAACCACCTGACTCTTTATTTTAATTTATCTGTTATATTATCTTGGCCTGAGCACTAATATATTGCTCCAGTTTTATTCAGAATAGATTTAATAAAACATAACAAGGTTGCGCGAAGACTGCAACTAAAAATATTTATCGGATTTTGATATTAAAATGATTTTTATCTGTATTCATTTGTTATTTGAAMCTGAATGAAATGATTTTTAACTATTGGACTTCTATGTTTACAATAAATGTTAGATAAAGTGTGATAAATAATATTTACTAATATTTCCATTAAAAATGTGTCCGAAAAAAAATTCGTGTTAAAATATCAGCAATGAGAGTAGCAACTTATCAGCCCGGGTAGCTCAGTCGGTAGAGCATTGGACTTTTAATCCAAGGGTCCAGGGTTCAAGTCCCTGCTCGGGCGGCCTTTATTTTTTACTTTTTTTTAATTAAAACTAATATAATAACAAAAACCAAGTGGTGTTTCAAACAGGGATCTCATTAGAGTGTGATCTAGACGCTGTTACGCATAAAATCTCACCTCCACAGTTCCACATTATAGAGCTATTAACAATTAATAATGTATAAAAAGTTATAGCTTAATGTCATGTCAACACATATCAACTACGGCCGTCTATATTAACCATGCCAACAAAGTCAATTGTTTTTATTATTTAGTATGAGACAAATAGTAGATTACATACCGAGGGGGGAGGTGCTTCATTACCAAAGCGAAATTTGATWACCAAGACGCGCAGTGCCGGGGTTAGCATTAACAATAAGCTGAGGTAAGAGAAGTAACGACCACCAAGGTTTGTATACTATTTTACTCACAATCATTCTGCTTAAAAAACAAAAAGCTAATAGAGAGTTTATCAAATTTCTAAAAACATGACGACATATGACAGTTCAAGTTAGGAAGTGGTCACTTCTCAACCTGAACCTGATATTTCATATTAATTGTTATGTTAAATAAAGTTGAAATGTCATTTTTTCCAACTTTTCACATGCAAGATAATTTGATTATTACTTTATGATTGTGTAAAAAATCCATTATTAGCTAAGATGGAGAAAATCAATTTCTCAAGCATCAAATACAATATTTGTATAATGACGTCTTCTGAAACTAGGAGTGAAAAAAAATTTCAGCCTTCTTTAGTGGCCTTCAGCGTCCGCTGATATTTATTGCAATCATATTTCTCGCAATTATTGACAATAATTACTTTGCAACCCTAATAAAAAGTAAGACCGTCATAATGGCGACAAATTCTTTGCAATAACCCACCCATAAATAAAAAAATTTACAATTCCCGGTAATCATCCCTTACAAAGAACTCATCGTTTACAGTTAGATTTTATTGCAGTTGCAAAATATTGCAAGTGAAAGAAAGTAAACTTCAAGGGTATTTTTTTATGATTTGGGACTTGTTACCTAGCTAAAAAGTAAATGTTTTAAGGCCATTGCACCTTGAGAGTCGTTCAAGCACATCTTGGTATTTTTGCAATTTGAAACTTGACAATGGTATTGAACACAGATACACAAAATCGCAACATTGGCAAACTGGAAGAAAGGGTTTTATGGTACCGTAAATCTGGCGTAATTTATGGGGCGTGATGGTTTTATTGCGATTTTTGGTGCAACGGCACACCGTAGGTAGCTTTTGCAAGAAATCGACGGACCCATGACTAACTTGATGGGAAATTATAACCTGTAAAGTCATTTACAAAGAAGTGAACGGTCGATGGCCTGTCAAAAATTTCATGCAAAATCTTTACTCTTAAGCTCAGCGAAATGTAACAATTATTTAAAATCTAATCACGAAAAGCGAGGGTTACAGTTACGCCGCTGGAGCCWAAATTATGAACATTAACATATCTGTGATGGGTYTCGGATTACAGTTTGACGTAATAATGGTGGCCCATCATTTCCTGTTTGATACCTAACGGTACCCGAAGGACGGGGGTGATATTTATCAAATCACTGCACAAGGTGCATCTGGAACAGATGGTTCTAATCATACGCCCATTTGACCCAGATTCTAACGGGGACCAGATAACTAATGGCCAGTGTTAACCCTTTCGGCGTCCTCTCATTAGCGAGGGACGGCAGGTGGTTACTAGGGTCTGAAGACCCATTTGTTGGGCGCTGATTTAATTACCACTAACCACAACTAGGCCAAAGAGGATCAAATCACACAAAAAATGCCTACCTATAGGTATGTTAGACACTTTTTTTGGAAATGTCTTTGTAATTAAGAAAAATGAAGGTAACAAAATCGGTCCAGCAGGTCAGTTGTGAATTAACCCAAAGAAAAATCTATATTTTGTTTCAATTTAAAAGTACATACTTCTTTCCCTTTTACAATATCCAAAAAACGTTTTGAAAACGTATTGAAATTGAGATTTTTGATATAAGCTTTTGGAACAGTTATTTTCAAAAACTCAAAAAAAATGCGAGCCTGAAAGCAAGATAAAAAATAAAAATATCCACATTTTCAAAGTGCTTTCCCTTACAAAATCAAGAACTTCTCAGAAACTCAAAGCTACATATTTTTTAAATAGAAAATGTTACAACAGGTATTTTTTGAACTTCCTCAAGAACAAAAAAGTTGCACCAATAGGTAACGATGGGTACTTAAAGGTCTTGAAAATTTACGAAAATGTTGTTCATGGCTATACTCTTTGAGTCTGGACCTCTTTTAGGGGGGTTTTTATGGGGCCGGCGACCCGGAGACTTCAGCTATCAATTATCCGAGATTTTAGCTGGATGACGAATGGTCTGGGCTCGTCCCAGACAGCCGAAGGGCTCTGAAGCTGCAGATTGGGTCATTTCAGCTAATGCATCTCGTTTTCAAGAAGTAAGAAGAGTTCGTCGACCGAAGTTGTCTAATGTAGGTAACAAGAGAGTGACGTCAGGCGCGTCACCTCCATGTTCCAGTGGTCTAGTTACACTCCGACAGTCTAGTTGGTCGAGCTTCTTCTTCTATGTGTGCATGGGTCGACGAACTCTTATGCATGTCCTCGATGGACAAGAGAAGAAATGAGTTCATCTTAATCGAGTTGCGTCGACGGTGAATTTTAGTTTCCATTAGTCCAGTCGCGGCCAGACTTGAACAGTTAGGATAATTTTACCAGAAACACCTCCCATTCCTGGAACATTATTCTTACATTAAGACGACATATGGCCAAGGGAATRTCAAATTATGGCTTGTGGTATAATGTACTTTACATCATGGTGTGTCAGAAGCCGAAACTCTTTTCTTGTACCAAAGAAATGAATATTCATTATTCTTGTTTTCATGATACAGACTTCATGGTAACACTGGGTCTTAAATTTGTTAAGTAAATTTTTAAAGACCTTGGCTTAGACAACAAGTAAGGTTGGAAGAACCTTTCAAATATTATTAAACATGTTATTATCCTACACTCTAAMTAGTAGGTTCTACGCACTTTATGCCTGCTAGGAAAACGAGTTTTTGTCGTTGAAGACGACAATTTTTGAATATTAAATTTATGATTAAAATTAAATGTTTAGGTTATGTTTAAAAATTCTAACGTAAATCACATTAAGGTATACCTACAGAACTTACCAGAATTCTTAATAATGCTAGTTTATGTGGTTAGTTTAAATAAAATGGAATCCAGTTAAGTTTCCTAAACATGTAAGCACGACTAGTCGAAAGAATATGTTTTCCAGAAAGTATTTTTATTTAAAACATTGTACCATTATTGCCTTGCATTTGTCAATATAATTTCTTTTAGTTACTAAATGTTGCAAATAAAACATTCTTAACCTATGACTTTCGATATAATTACTTCAATTAAAAATATCTATTGATGTAAAAACTAAAAAATACGTAAAATAGAGTTTTAGGAGACGACTCTTAATTAAAACGACCAGGAAGTCGAGTCTTCAATGCGAAGAGTTCTCTAAAATTATTTGCATGTGTTGCATCCCCGATTTTTTACAGAAGTTTCCTAAAACACCAAAATGATCTAATTTGTATAAATAATAAGTCCATATTGAGAAAGGTCTCAGTTAACAATTACTTTGCACTAATTTTTGATAATAAACAAATAAATTTGGACATGAAATTTTGAAGACAGTTTAAAATGTTAAAAATTAAAAAAATACAAAGATGCATTTTAAATAGCAATTAAGAGGTTTTGTGTGTTATTTGTTATAAACTTATAAATCATTACAAGTACTCCACTCGCCCTAGGTACTCTTGGGGTAAACATTTACTTGCGTGACTTGCGTGTAATATAACACAATTTCCACAAAAACTCTTATTAGAGTGTGTTTTTGTAGCTCCATACACCATCCGAAACGTTCTCGGGAAGACTATAAGCCAAAAAAAGGAAGATTGATTTAAACAACATTCTAAGAAGGCAAGATTTTTCATGTTCTTGTAAACTATCCTGTTACATCCAACTTTCTCCTTTGTACTTTTATCAAGATTAATTAATGACCAGTTGTTATCTCTAAGCTTTTTTCAATGTACCTAAAATAACTAAAATTACTGAAAACATAAGGTTAGTATCTTATCTATGCATGTTTTTTCTCATACATACTGTGAGTCTATCTGCTTCAACCCAGTTGTTCGTAAACGATGCTTTAAAAAAATATTACAAAATACATGATTACGTATATAACAATATTTAAACAACATTAATATCCCAATAATTTATTAAGATTATTTTTTAGATATTTTCTTAATAATAACAATCCTCGCAAGTATGAATAAATTTTATATTTATGGAAGTTACTCAGTATACATACACACATGTAGTGACTAACGCTTTTGTAAATAATACTCTCAAATAAATCTTGCTTCAACCATGTCTGTAATAGTAGTGCCTTTGTTGTAAAGAAGAAAAGTGATAGTCCCTAGTGGTTTACATAATACAAAAGCATAAAATAGAATACTGTAATCAAAAAATTACACATTACATTACAACACATTAAAAATAAATATTTGTAGGTATATTTCAATAAGTGCTTTCATAGTCATTTTGGCAATGAAATAAATTCGTATTATTAGTCCTAAAAAAAAATTCAAAAGCGTTTTTTCCCATTATTCATCTCATTAACAATTTTAAGATTTAGTAACTATGTTAGCCTTCACATATGACCAAAACAATGCGGAAGAAAAACTTATCACAAACAGACAAGAAACCAAATTGTTGAATTCTTCTTTGTGGGATCATCAAGGATCCAAAACTTCGACTCATTTCAGTCATGCTGATGTCATGGTTCTATCAAATGCCCTTGCTTACCAAAATTAGTAACCTTCGATTTTAATTGTCCACTTTTTTTCTATAAATCTTTCTTGAAGATAATCGAAGCTGAATCTGGCTGCATGATGCCACCGGTTACTAACCTTTGGCAACAATTATCATAGTTCCGAGTGAAGGCCAACTTGGAGGAAGTGAGTGAGTGAATAACGATGACACGGACGCGTCGCCATGAATGGGGACATTTTCATTGCTCTTAAGGCAAAGCCTTTACTCTCTACTAACAAATTGGAATCATTTTCGCGCTTCCCTAGTGATCTAAATCTCCAGTAGACGTAGGCGAATGGAACCCCTGCTGGAGAAGCTCGCCAAGAATCTATCCCACTGCCTCATATTCCCAGCGGCGTCCGTCAAATTTGGCCAGTCCAAGACAACCCACGACATAGCCATGCGAAAACACGGTCGTCAACCTCTTCCCGTAATGTGTTACGCTATCCTTCGCAACCGTCGAGAAATCGCAAACGTTGCTTGCTTCCACTAGTAGCACAGACAAAGAAGTTCCTCGAAGGAGGTCTTGGCTTGGCTGCGGCAGTAGGTGTAAAAATGCCGCGAATTGAGGGCGAAAGGTAAACCGTAAGGTGTGTTAAAGTAAAATCGGAACGAAACGGAATTGAATCTCTGAATTTCGAACTAAATGCGGTTTTACTCTTCGCAAAAATTTGAACTTGTTTGCAACCTTGGATAAGCGCTGGCCTTGAGAACTTGGCGTCTTAAACAGATTATTGCCCCAGTGGCAAGATTATTTTGCTATAGATGAACAAAACAAATTCGCGAAATTTACGATCATTTTTCGAATCCAATTAACACCTCTTAAATTATCACCAACAACAGGAAATTTCGACACGTTTCACAGCCATTAGGAGAACCATTAAGCGTCCAAGTTCAGGGCCTCAAATTAGATTTCTCGCAACAATGAACAATAATTATATCCAGTGTTAAAATTCATTAGTTCTATGTTTGACATAATGTTACTTCATTAAAGAAAGGGAGGAAAAACAAGATATTACAGCCTATCATTACTCTTCAGGTTCTTTCAAGTGTTATCATTACATTTATAGCGACTTTAGCACTTAACTAAAGTATAACTAAGTACTTTTTTCGCCTAAAACAAAGTCAAGAATCAAGTTCATTGACTTGTGACGTCAGCGGACCTAACCTAACGTAAGTGAAGACTGCGTTCCAACAGCAACTTTCAAATCTTTGTAGGTGTTGCATTCCACCCTACATTGTCCGATCAAACGTCAAGAAACATATTATATCATTTATTTCTAGCAATGTTTGACACAAATGAGTCATTTCTATATTAAATGCTAAAGTTCAAATCCAAATGACTGTTGGGAAAACCTGAACTCGTCAATATTGACGTTGCTTCAGTTCGCTGATTTTTAGACCTTGTTTCAGTGCAAAATGAAGACTCGTATAGGTGCTAAACAGAATGTGTTACGACCGGAGTTTGTTGAACTCTTCACGATGTAGAACAGAGCACACTCGATTAAATTTTCGTTTCGTTTGTTAACGAAGACATACTTTGGCGCGACTTTATAAAAATCACCCTTCTATTTCGCCTTGATTTCCAGGGTAGCTAAACCGGAGCAAAGAGTTCGGAACTAATCTTCTTTGACAATGGCAAATGTTGTATAATTGACGTTCTCTAAACTCAGTCCCGCAAGAAAAAAATGGGGTAACGGTGAATCTCTTTTAAACCGAAGAAAGTAATTAGGAAAATTTCCGGACCCGAACTTTCTACCCCCTGTAGGTGTTGTAAGCCATAAATCATTGGAAAAGTGGCATTGTTGCGGTTTATGGCTAACCACCCTCGGGTTTTACATTAGGACTGATACTACCCCCCAATTTCAAAAGGACTGTCACAAATTTTGAAACACAATACAAATTACCGGTTGACCTAGAGAAAATTTGTTTAGACTTGTAACTACGGTGGTGAAATTTGTTAAGAAGTGGTCATAAATTAAAACCACAGGGAATTAGCTTGAGTCCTTTTGACCGTAAGTGAAACTATATCTTAATAGGGCCCTAGTGGGCAAGGTATTTAAGCGAATTAACAAATTTCTAGTAATTAGGTAAAATTGTGATCATATTTTTAATAGACTCAGTGATGAAATTGGTAAGCGTTCGTTTGATAATAACTGAAATACTTTGGAGACTTCAATAGTCGATCAGACGCGAAAACTCAAAATTCGATTGTGCTTTCTTTCGTTTTGTAATAATTTTGCAAAGAAATTGAGTCATAAATCACTTGTCAAAATTCTCTAGAATCCTCTGGTAAAGCCGCAAAGAGAAAGGCATTTCACTGAATACCTAAATTCGTCAGTTGAACTTGCGTGAAATAAGGTTATATCATTTACCATAAACAAAATGACGCGGATGAGTCAAAGACCTCCTCCACATAAGTAGAACTTTTACTCGATTTAATAGTCATCCCGTTCTGATTCCGAAGAATTTCGAGCAAAAGAAAGGCAATCATCCTTCGGAATCGAAACTCCGGGTCGGGTTTTTCGAAGTGAGCGGCGTCTTGGGCTGATGAGAGCGCTTGGTCCATGAACCCTAAAATAACGACAAAAAGAACTTCCTCAAACGTGAGCTGCAGCATTGAAGTCGCTGGCAACGTCTTGAGGCCGCTCAGAATTTGGAGGTTGTTGACCGAAGTTCCCGTTAGTTGGAGCTTCCAACTATCACCACTTGGCGCTGTGTGAAAACCATCACGGTCAAGTTTAACTCGGATCGGTGTTTAGTTTCTAAAAGACTGCGAAGGTTGAAGAACGTAATGGTGTGTTTGACATTGCCCTAGACATGCGGCTTTGACAACCGGTCGAGACTCTTCAATAACCCCCGGAGTCCGGATTAAGTGCTTCGAGAGGATTCGCGTCAAAATTTTTATTGGATATGGTGATAGCAAATTCCGTTCGGACCACTTTGTGCTTTTTTTGATAAAGACTGATCCGAGATCTCGAACTCTGAGTGTGTGAGTGTGTGTGACTTTTCTTGGATATAGAGTTTAGTGACGCTGCCAAAATTTTCTGGATACCTTGGATATTATATATTCCTCCGAAAGACTGCCACGAAGGTAAGCCAAGACCACTAGGTGTCCAAAAGTCAATCAATCAAACATTTTTTTATGTGCTCAATCATCTTTCCACGAATGTAATTATCAAACACCTGTGTCTGGTGCTCAAGGAAAAATTGTTTTTATTTATGATTAATTGAATTATGTAATAACAGACAAAGCGTGAAATTTTGGCAGTTATGGCGAAGTTATTGACCTTAAGACAAGACATTCACATGGATATTGCGTTTTGTAATTACGCTGTTACTTGCTGTTTGTTTAAACAATATTCCTTTGCGTGTAAAAATTGGAGGAGTTTGTTTTGTTAACAAGTACGTGGGTGCCAAGTAGGATGCTTAACAATCACATTTAATTAAAAATTGCCCGAAATTTTTCTCTCAATGCTTCTCATCTGGAGATTGTATATCTCGAGTTTCCGAGTTTTTCCGGTTCGGCGAACCAGTTGGGATTTTTCGCTCGCGAAGGAATGTGCATTTCAAAATATTTACACATGAAAATAGTCGTTGACCTGTTGTTTATCACACGTAACCCTTTGGCAAAAAATGCACTGGCCATTTTTTCAAGAATTTACATAAAAACTTGTCTTTCCTCCAAAATTCAATTTCAAAAACAAAACAAAATTCGACGTGGAATCAAAATTCAGCATGTGAAACATTTGTTAAGTTCGTCGAACTTAAAAATTTTGTTAACCTCAACCTTGTGTGCTTCTTGTATAAGGTCGAAAACTGCATTATAAGGAACCAGTTCCTTTAATGTTGATAACTCGTTCTTTATTTTGCAATCTGTTTTTGTACAACGACAGATTGCATTTTATTGGCGTATTTTGTAATTAAATTGATTAGGTCGCAAAACCTACCATTAAATAAATTCACATTGGGCGAACCAAAATTGGGGAAACTAATTAGTTCAGTGATTCAACCCTTGTAATCTAGAACCTCTCAGAATCACCAAAACAAAGTTATCATAAGCACAAACAACACCTGAAGAAAGTTTTCGAAGAAATGTTACGTGGTGATAACTGTCAAAAAAGCATGCTGAGGTGAAAAAAATTAATGGAGCCGGTCCTTGTGTTATCATATCATACTTAACATTTCTTATAAAGAAATTGATGATGGCCGCCCGACTTGTAACGATACTTCTCGATTTTTCTATGCTTTACCTTACTTTCGGATTAGTAGGACACTAGGGCAGTTCAACGAACTCAATCCTTTACGTGCTCACCATGGTGGCAACAACTTATTATTAACCTATGTTGTTTATAAATCRATTTACTGATTCAATAATTTTCGAAAACGGAAACCATTTGATTCGATTTGCATTTCCCGCTCTTACAAATTCAGTCTACTTTATTCTATTTATAACAGATTTGTTTTGCAAAATCTTTAAGCAAGTTTTTGAACTGACATTGACAAACCCATGCTCCAACCAAGGYCAAGGCTAACCTGAATCATTATTTTATAAGATACTAAAATAATAATTATTGATTCAGATAGAATTCATGGTCACGGCCACTTTTGTTATTTATTCAAAGCAAAATTCAGATTGGAATATTTTCGCAATTTTGACTAAACTTTCCTTTCCTGGTACCAACTACCTGTACCAGCAATAACAATCATTACTTTGGACCCTCTAACAATACACTATATCCCATTCAGTTTTCCAACAACTCAGTTGTGGCTTTGAGTTTTATTACGCCTATTTCGCATAATATCCACTTTCCTCAAGCTCAAAATGAAAGATAAAAGACAAATATGTGTAGTTTACAAAAACTTTAATTAAGTAGAAGTGAGCTTTCTTAATAAATCAAGTTGAGAAGGAGATTGTCTTTTAAACTTAGTCACCTTCCAAAAACAAAACAAAGTTTATTCATACATTAGTGGCATAATTATGTAAATATTTCATTTTGAATAAACTTTTCGTATTTAACAAAATTAGGGTTCTTCCAGTCTTGTATATTTTGAGCATAAGATAGAAGAAATTGGAGCTTTTAAATACACCAAACATAAAACGGCCATAAAATGTTCAAGAATAGCTAATTAGTTTTGTGGATTTTCGTATTTTAAAACAAAATTCAATTTAGTGCTCAAAACTCCGTTACCAATAATTAAGATAATAATCTTCCTSCTCTTGTCAACAGTTGGTTATTACTGTAATTACGCGTACAGCAGGTTCAGCCCTCCTGCTCAAGAAAGCTTAATTGAAATAATTTTGGGTGTTAACAACAAGAAGTTTGTTTTGACGATTACTCCAACTATTGTGTTATTCAAAGTAAATGCCGCTTTTTATCGTGTTTTTTTTTTCTGTGAACCACCTGCATGCTCGAGAGCTTTTTTTTGATATGCATAAGCACTTTATTAAAAGGGGTGAGATAGCGGAGCTTAAAAGGAGGTTAACTAGCGGTGCTTACAATCCTGAAATTGATGAAGGTTCTGACAATCCCGACCCTTATAGCCTTGAGAAATCAAGTTCCGTTTAAATGGTATCACCTGCCCACACATACAACTTGTTGAATACTCCTCTTAGATAAACACACACGCTGGATTTTTGTACCGTTACGATGAGACATGCGTTGGGAATTGTTTCTACCTGAAACAAAATTAAAAGTTATTGACTCTATTAGTAAGTTCCTCGAAGGAGTAATTACATATGAAAAATTTTACGGTTTGTGGCCACGACAATAGTCAACAGTAGAGCCTTTGTCAATAGTGGGTTTCTCGAGAATTGGGCTTCTTTACCTAACGGATTATGCTTTGAGGAGCGACCGATGTCCATTTTGAAAGTATTGAAAATTTGCACAGACGACAGCTGCCTCAGCAAGAAAAAWTACTTTCAGGAGACGCAAAACACTGAACTGACCACCTTGTTTATTTGCGACCGCAAACCGAATTCGAACATAGAGAAACAATTTATTTGGTTAAACTTAAAAATGATACTTGAAAAGATAATGCRATTTCATCTTTTCTGCAAATTTTACTCTAAATGATTCCAGGAAAGTGACAATAAATTTGTTGTCGGATGGAAAATATTTGACAAGCGGATTACTTGCAACAATTTCTCTTTTTGCAAATCTTGAAATAAAGTTTCAAAATTTATTTTGTATGAAAATTGAGGCATACATTCACAATGTCAACGAAGAAAATTGTAATATGAAAAATAAAACAAACAGGTGCTTAAAAAGGTTATACCTGTAACACTGATAAAGATAATGAGGCAATAAAATATACTTTCATGTGTTTGGCGTTACAGATATGTTTATTTTCATTCATTTATTGCTTCAAATAGAGAAATATTATGCTGTGGGTATCGAATTAATAAAGTGATTCACATTAAAAAAAACTTGTTTAAAATAGAAAAAGATTTCTCTGAATTTCTAAACGTAACGTTAGCGATTATCCAAGGATACACTTACATGACAATAGAAAGAAAGAAAGAAAGAAATAAAGAAAAAAGAATAAAAAAGATCATAACAGAGAAACTGAAAGATTCAAGTAGTACTGGCAGCTAATACAAAAGAGATTTTACATTTATTTAAATTTGAAATATGTGTACGCCACATGAGAATGAGAAAATGCTGTAAAATACTAGGCCTGATTGTTGAAAGGTGTACTTGATTTAAATAAAATTAATAAAATAAAACAAATATTTTTTAGTTTGTACTCAATGTTAAAGAAAAAAAAAACTAAAAAAACTTTTTCTCATTAGTATTTTACTACTAGATAAAGAATCATTATTGGGATTTATCTATGTAGTAGAGTTTCTATTATTGCTTAAATTTAATGTTAAAATCCTACAATTATTTTTTGACCTAAGTTAGTTGAATATAATGATAACCTGTCACAAATCCTGGAGAGAGAAATGTTTGAGGAAACTGCAGAAAGTTTCTTTTGCTGTATATGTATATTCTGGAAAGATCTCTTTAGAGTGATGCAACAATCACAACAAGTTTGTGTCATTAAAAATGTGATTTTTGACTTATTCAACAAATAATAATTTTCCGAGCTCAGCCATTGCGAAAATTAATTCACGCGCCGTTAAAAATTCAAGCCAGGATATCAAATCAGTTAAAAATTGATTATAATCGATTCAGCAAATCCATCCTGCTGTGTCACCAAACCTGCTGAAACCCGTTGTAAATTCGGCGCCTAAAGTCGTCSACTTTCCTGCTGAGGAGCCCTGTGATCCTGCAGTCTTTTTCATCATTTCCTGGCTTTATCTTTCGCATTTCGTACGCAATGATCTTTTTACGTGGAAGGAGAACGTGCTAGTGGAACCAGACAGGTGGGAGAAGTAGGGGAAGTCGGAGTGTGTCGGCCATTGAACTCGTGGTCTCAATGTTGACATCCCGGTTAAGGCTACGCTTCCTCGTCAAATCCACGCGAAATGCTATCGATGTCCTTGTTCAGTAGCAATAATCAAAATGTTGCAGAATTCGCTACGGCCGGAAATTCCGGCAATACTCTATCGCTTATAGAAAATGAAGGTCACGTGCTGTTTTTAGGCCAAAAGGCCAGCGTAATCGCCACATAGTTAATCTAGTGCGAAAGCAAGAACTTGCACATGACCTGATTGCAATTCAAGCAGTCCCACTTCGAAGAAACGGGGGTTTGGGCCGAATTTCGGGGCACGCGTGACGCTTTGTTGATAAACAAAGGGGATTCCTGGGGGTTGACTGAACTCGGATTCGGGAGAATGTGAATGCGGAAGGTCCGGGTTTGACCCCTCATGACCTGGGCCAACACTTTCCATGGTAACCGACACGCAAGTCGGGGATTTCGATCGATTCCCGGCAATGGCCCTCCCTCTCAGACAACATGCTACTTGGACAGAAATTACGCTCATTTTTCACGAAAACCATCCCCGAAATACTCACATTAAAACTTACACAAGTTTACTTATTACTCTCCTATTCGACTGGTTTTCATTTCAGTTTAAACTTTTTAATTTTACTATCTTTAAACCTTGTATACACACCGAGGCGAGAATCTTCACGCTGCAAGTTTCCACAATCGGACGTTAAATCTTTATAATTAAATCATAAATTAAGTGATGAATTTACCTAGCGATTGCAGTGACGTTAAAGGCGCAAATTCCTAGTTAGGCATTTCCGGGAGTTCCGGGATTCTCCGGGTTGAACGCAGCAGGAGGACGTTGACCCGATATTGATTTTGTGCAATTTCACTTTTATTTTGTTTTGATACAACTACGGCAAAAGTTGGTTTATCCTGGAATCAAGATTAAAATTATCGCAAATTCAAATTTTTCCCAACAATAAGAAAATAATCAATTTATGACTTGCAGATGATGCATTTTGATTTCATCATATTTTTTGTCTTCTTCAATAATCAATCAATAATCTCAATGAAACGAATATTGTTTAGATGATTTATTAATAATTGATTATCTTCTTAGAAAAGCAGACACTGTTCAAAGACAACAAAACAACACAAGAAAATAACCGAATTTATATTCAACGTTTACCCTTAGACTTATAATAGCATAAAATAGTAAATACTATACGCAAGACTTAATCTAAAAATGATTATTTTTTAATAAATTCCCAGTAAGAGAAAAGAAACAAAAATAAAAGATATTTTAAAATTGATGTTTATTATTACGTATGTATTTTAAACACAAATTGTAATAAATTGAAATAAAACTATAGAAAGAAAAATGGCTGACCTAAATAGAAAATTACGTATCGGTAAAAGTTTTTGTTTAATTTGGCTATAGTTTTTTTACAAAAGATTTTTATTCTAGTTTTTTTATTCTAGTTGATATACTTTTAAATAATAATGAATAACTATGACATAAGAAACCCCTCATGAAATTAAATTATATATAATATTTAAATAAAAATACAGAACAACAATTATTCTTTTATTACTCTTACAGGCTGTCACATATAATAAAAACCCTAACCGATTTTCAAACGCAACCCAAAACATATTCTCAGATACCACTATGAGTTAATTGATACACTATTTGAATTTTTTCAAAGATATAAACATAGACACCTGAAATAGCTTTGACAGTTTTTGAAAATTGTTGTTCTACAGTGTACATTTGACGGTACAGATTCAGTTACAACATTTTTGTGGCATTCTCTATGTATCAAGATCATATCAGCTTCTTCGTCGTTTCAGTATATTTTGAATTCAAGGGGAAAAAAAGCAAAATTGATGACACTGCCAAATTTTATGAATGACATAACAACTACTTTGATTCAAATTTATGAAACTATATTTTTCATACGCAACTAAAGCCAAGTTATTTGTGCGAATGTATTTCGGGTTGTGTCTGAAAATCGGTTAGGGTCTTTATTATAAATGATTCGCCCTGTGTATGTTGAAATAATAATTCATTTCAAAATTAATCAAAATATGCGTTAATGTTTATTATTCCAATTCCTGCTCTAACACAATATTATATTCATTTATTTGGTTTCAGGTAAAACAATGACAATGATAGCTCATTTATTGCCCAATAATCAGTTTTTCAAATCTAAATGAGAATAACAAGATCCATCTGCTATCACTTCTAACCTACGATCACCTTCATTGGGTAAACATAAAATAAAATAAAACAAAACATTACATAATTTACGGCGTCAATGATGATCTTAAATTATATTTTCTTACAAGAAATGTGCCCAACCTGACCTGCGCAACTGAAAACAACGTAGATTGCTCAGTTTTGCATGTTTATGCACTAATATTGTTATCTTACATTAACGATTTGCAGTGTTTACCAAAGATTGTTAAAAATAAAGATTGCACATGCGTTTTTGCAAAGGTCAAACTATTTTGCGTTGAAACTCCTAAACTAAATTCAATTTTAAATCCAGAAATTTTAATAATATCAGTAAATTAATCTATTCCTGTTTTAAAAATTCGACCTTCCACCTTAACCAATAGCATTTTAGTTGTTTTTTTTTACAGAAGTACTCAGGTCATACGTGTGGCTGTTTGTTATAACAGCAATTAAAATCGTATTTTGTTTATCAAACGTTACGTTATCATCGAAGCGATGTGCACATGGACAAGAGAGTTTGAACGGGATAGCTGCAACGTTGCAGAGCCTCACGACAGAGAGTGTTGAGCTAGGTCGGCGTCGCGACGCTTTGAACAGCTCGGTGCATATCCGCGTCCTCGCGAGTGTCCCGCCAAAACACGTTATTCCAGGTGCGTAACATGCGTAAAGTATGCGTGAGAGTGCGTAAAGAACACGTCAAAGGCCCTTTTTCCACCCTTTTAAATTTACCCCAAGTTTTTTAAACTTCGCGCCAAAATTAGCCCGGGAAATACGCAGTTTATGAATTAAAATAATAAACAATAACAAACTGACCCTACCTAGAACTATTGGCTCTAAACCAAGAAAAATAAACATGCCAATTAAGATTTTTCCAAATTTTTGAAAAAATCCTAAATAAAAATGCAACAAAAAATATTTTGGGGATTATAGCGGATTAAACTGCGGTTTTTGGCAGAGGAAAACTTGATAAATTTGGCTTAAGGTGTTTTAATTTTGTTTCTGTGGGTTTTTGGTTAGGACGGAGTGTCATTGTTTACAATTTGGAGTGTTCGTTGGGTGTGGAGCTCAGATTTGGTTAAAGTGTAACACAGACCTTTAGGAGGATTTTTGAAAAAAATTAAAATTACAAAAGTGATAATGAAACTCTTATTGATTGCTCTATTTTTAGTCGGTTGGAATAATTTCACTATCAAATTGGCACTACTTTTAAGCTAGGTACTCACAAGTGAAAATTGCATCGAGGTGTTCAAATACAATCCTAACAAACCCATTTTGGCAAAAATTCACTCGATTTTAAACAAAATTGCGATTTTCAGCGTTCAATACGATCAAAAGTGAAAATTCAAAATGGCTGCCTCCCCGTTTCCGTTACTGAAACGTAGATATTTTCTTCCTTCGAAGAAGCTATTTTAAACTACTTTTCAATAGTCAAGGTAACCTTTAGTCGTTGTTAACATCATTTTGAAAAAATAAACTATCCATCTCTCATAACATCCTACATAAAACCCAAAGTTGTGGCGTCTCAACTTTGACCTTTGAAAATTTTTGATTTTGTTTTCGCAATTTTGGGCAAACTAAAAACAATTTTCGAAATTAGAGACTCGTTTTTTGAATTTTAAATCTTTATTTTGTACTTTTGTTGTTGTTTGTGATATGACAATCCTTTTTTGACGTTTTCTAGAAAAGTGAATTTCAAGTGCACGTCAAGGATAGCTAATCCATAAGCAAATAACAAGCCAGCAAAAAACAGTATAATGATTAAAACTATTATTGTAATGCGAGAATTGTTCGTTGCATATGTTATGTCATATCACTTATATCCAATGTCATCTCACATGCATCATTATTGATATTTTAGTTAAAAATTGGTTATAAATTATTGTTCTTCCAGCCCTTAAACAGCCACTCCTGTCTTTTTTTAAATGAGATAATTAAATCAAGGTTTGCACTGTCTTTATTCCTGCAGACACCCCCAGCAGGAACATAAAATTCACCGGTTGCATGCCATGCACACATAACACTTTTTTTGCATTTTCTTCGATAATTCTTCGACATTCTTTGACCCTTGCAGATTCGGTAATTTCTAGTTTGACTTTTCTAATTGTAATAACATTGAATGTTTAAAGATCAGTCATGGCCTCGTACTGTGCCAAATGCTCACAAGGTTTCTTTAAAAAGAGAAAGATAGAGGAAATGCACTCGTTGAATAAAGACCAGAACTGAAATTGACGTCAGGAACATGCAACTCAACCTTGCACTAATATTAGTGCAGAATTAAATAACTCAAAATTGGTGGGGAAGAATTCGGATAGATTGCCACATCAGGTAATTTTTCAATTGTGGAGACCTACACGAACCCCCGACTTTTCCCTATTTATCTCTATTTAAATGTTCTAGGAGGTTATGTGTTATGTAAAAGCGCTACTTATGTAACTGCAACATAAAAAGTGGCTCTATGACATTGACTCTTACGACGGATTGATAACAAAATAGAAAGGATAATGTTTAAAAATCTGCAATWCAAATGTTCCAAAAATGAACAATTTCTACTGTAGTGTACCTGGAATTGATCTCTTTTTTTGTTTCAGGACTTAAATGCCTTGAAGAACAGCTGCAGTCCTCAAAAAACGCCAAAATGAGAGAGGTAAAATTTGTCATAGACTTAGTCTTTCATGTGAAAAACATTGATTTATTTTTAACAAAAGGAATCACTTTATTTCGTAATATCATTACGATTACAATGTAATATTATATATGATTTGGCTACTACTCAAATTTTCGTAGTTAAATTTATTCAACATCTAAAGTAAATAAGTCTCCGCAGTATCAAATTATTAATTTATAAACAAAAGTAAAGAAAATAGCTTATTTGGTGTGAATTACTGCAAAGTTAACATAATTAATTAATTTGACCGATATGGTTTAATTAATCATTTACGACTCGGATTCATTTTGTTATGGATCAAAAGAGTCAAAGGCGACAATGCCTTTATGCTAAGTCATGTGTTAGCAAAGGAAAGAACGAGGAAAGTAATGCTTCAACAATTCGTTCAACTAAGCCGACACTTCCTTCTATTATGCAGATATTTATCACTTTATTTTACACYGATTGAGACGAAGCTCATCACATAATGAGGTAATTATTTTATGTAAATATTTGAAATCGTYTTGGAATCATTTTTGGATGTCCGGAAATTACTGTTATCGCTTTATCATTTTACTCATTTTATCATATTTCAAGGATTTTTCTGCATTACGAGAATATTAAAGCATTAGGTGCACTATTATCGCCATATTTTAGCATTATGTAGATGTATTCCTACTTCCACTAAGGTTAATTAACCGCAGGAGCTGTGTAAATGTATCAAAAATTAATTATACTTGAGAACTGACTTTTAGACATAAATTTATTATAACGTTTTTATCTTGAATTTTTAAATTTAAGTAAAAACAGTAATCAGCTATGCAAATTAGGGGCTAATTTACATGTCTTTAAAAAAATGCATTTAAAATAATTTGCTTAGAATGAAATAAAACGAAAATTTCTGCGTCCGTGATTATTTTAATAATTTGAAATCTTCGTTGCATGTTTAACTAAGGTCGCAACATTTGAACTGTTGACATTTTCCGGGGTCGCCCAATGCATGTTCCAGCTGCATTCATCCACCCTTGGAACTCAGCTTGTGATATTTTACAAGTTTTTAGAGCATTATTTATGTAGCCTTAAAGGTTACGTTTATTTACAATCCATCGCAAAGACTTGCACCGTCATAACTCCATCAATCATAATTAAACACGGAATTGTTAATTAGACACCTCATCAAAAGACTGGCAAAATTTAAATCTCTGAAATTATTATAAATATATCTGAGGCAAGCTTTCGTTTGGTACTTTCATCAAATCGAAATTTTGTCGACTATTGGTACAAGTTTTTGCCGCCTCGTATGAATGAGGCGTAGCCATCTTGAAAGCTCGCAGCTTTGATGACGTCATAAAGTGATGACGTCGGATCGGACGCGGTGCATCCAGACGGTGGCTAAGAGMGTCGATCGATACATGTACACACTGACCCATATATCCTTTCACTTAATATTTTGCATTTTAGCACATCCTCGGTGATAATTTCGGTCGAATGCAAATGACGGCATCGACACGCACATCACGCGGAAAAAATTCAACGCGCATAATTTATATAATTATGACCGAGTTCAATGACGATAATTGGCAATGTGGCGTGTCCAAGCTGACGGCCCCATTACGCCTGAAAACTGTCGCATTTCAGCGAAATGCACTTCTTTTCTTTGATGTYGCTGAAACGTGACAATTAGTGCATTGATCACACCCCTGCATGAGAGGTCACTACTGTTGCTTTCAGCGACCTTGCCGACAAACTCAAACTCCCCTCGGAGAGACCCAAGACGAGTTTTAATTGGCGATACTGAAACCGCTGACTTATTCCGCCGAAAAAATTAATTGCAGGATGTACTGTCTTGAAATTTAACTTTCAAATTAGCTCGCCCTGTGCATTTCCTGTGCCCAAATTATTTAGAGATCTTTGAACTAGTAAATGCTTCAGTTACGTCAAATCGGATGCTCACCTTCACGGATCTAACTTTTAAGACATATAATTTGTTATAAGTGGATGAGTTTGAGAGTATTGTACTATTATGATTTATTTCTTTAGGACATGATGGATGAGGTAGCTGTAACGTCCGCCAGCGAATTCGACTTGGCCAATATTCATGAGGAAGAATTCGAATTGCATACCACCTATATCGTTCCGGATCTTCCGGTTGAGCCCGGAACACCAAACAGGGCGGAAGCTACCCTTCCTCGAAACTTAGTGCTTAAGACATCTCAAGCAATGTCAGATGTGAGTTTCGGAAAAGTTTACCAAACTTTTTCTCACAGATATTTCCAGGCTCAAGGCGTCTGGAGTACGGGGTATATCCCACGAGGGACGCGCTTTGGGCCTCTCGTGGGAGAAATCTATGCCAAAGATGCTGTACCAAGTTCGGCAAACCGGAAGTACTTTTGGAGGGTAAGTAGCATTCTTCCATGCTTTATGTAAATATTCTTTCGGTTGTGGTTTTCCTAATTGTTTTCTTTTCCTGGTTCAGGTTCAGATGAGAGAGGGCTTTTATAGAAACAGTTCTAACGACAGCAAGGTATCATCTTTAATTATCTTTTTCAAAAATAACAAGACATTTGTTCTGGGAAATCCTTGGCAAATTTTCAGATTTTAATTGCAAGGTTTCAATTTTGCGACAAACAAATTTACCTTCATCGTAATTTTAGAAGGCTATATTTTATTAACTAACTTCTTCCTTAAAATTGGCCACGGTTCGGAATTATGTTTGTGGTTATTTTGGGTGGTTGGTTGTAAAATGCCGGACACATAAATAATTATCATGAAACCGAAAGGAAATCTTTAACGGCTCCTTTATATAGTTTATGAGCGGTTTTGCTTCCAATTGCAATTGTATATGCTTCAAAATCAAATGTCTTGACACCAATSAAACTAATTTCTACTCTAACATCTTTTTTTTTATTTCAGATATATAAAGATAACGAACTATATTATTACATTGATGGATTTGATACTTCTAAGGCTAACTGGATGAGATATGTTAATCCTGCATATTCCAGTGAATCTCAAAATTTAATCGCCTGTCAATACAAAATGAATATCTATTTTTACACTATCAAACCTATTCTTCCCAATCAGGAACTTCTTGTCTGGTATTGCAAAGAATTCGCCGAAAGACTTAATTATCCCTTGACTGGTGAACAAATGCTACAAAGAATTAGTACGTTTTGTTTTTTTGCAATTAAGAAAGGAAATAATTTTTTTCGGTTTTAGGACAACAAGTACAGCAATCTTCTGAAGTGATAACTGTTAGTACGACTGAACCTCCTGCAAAAGATGGTCCCTATGAACACCAATTAACACCAACTGATGGTAGTGTGAGATCAGATGAAGGATATCACAGTAATGGTTATCACGACGATGCTTTCACACCTCCTGAAGATTCAAGTGATTCTGATAGTGAGAATAATTACGTTCTTGATTTTAGGTAATGTATATCTACTTTATTAGTGGTCCCATACTTTTATTCTATGATTATAGTAAAAAACCAAATTCGAAAGAAACTGCGGTAATAAAACCGGTTTCTCCCGAAACCCAAAAGAACGAATACAGGAAAGTGAAGATAAAAATATCTAAGGCTTATCACTACAAGTCAAAAGGAGTAGAAAGCGACCACGAAATGGAGAAGGAATCTCACACTGATGCTGCAGTACCTGAAGTAACAACACTAACCCCGAGAATAATCACGCCCCCAAGTACAGTAATTGTGATTGATTCTCCTCCACCTGAAGTTCCTAACAATAAACCTTTCTACGAACCTGAAGTGAAGTCCCAGAATGTTATATCCCGATATACACCGCCATCTTCTAGTATTCTTGAAAATATCCTTCTAAGGAATCGAATCGACACCAATAACAATGACAACAACCAGCGACAACCCAACGCAACTCCTCCTCCAAGCTCCCCCACCGAAATGGCTTACTCGTACAAGAAGAGCCACCGGTACGGTACTGTCCCTTGCAGTCCTGATTCAAGTTCAAATGTCCAAGTTCAAAACATGCTCCCTCTTAGTCCCGCAATGATTAAAAACCACCCTCCAAGTCCGGTCCAACCTTTATACGTCCCCCACACTACCGAAAACTACACGAACCACATCCAACCCACGAACTACTACAACATCTATCCTTCCAATGGCATACCCCACAGTACCATCACATCGGCTCCCACGACCACGTACTCGCCCCCCACGACGAGTTTCAAYACGACCCACCACCCCAATGGGTCGAATTTGATGATCCCAGCGTCGCACATCATCAACTCTAACCTTACTCATCACCTCCTCACGCCTTTGCCTCCATTACAAACCAGTGGGAGGTCCTCTCCCTGTTCGCGGAGTCCCGATGGGGGCTCTATCGGCAATCCCGGGAGCCCCAACACCAACCAAAATCGAGGCTATCGAAGCTTGCCCTACCCTCTGAAGAAAAAAGACGGCAAAATGCACTACGAGTGCAACGTTTGTTGCAAAACTTTTGGCCAGTTGTCGAACTTGAAAGTTCATTTGAGGACACACAGCGGTGAACGCCCCTTTAAGTGCAACGTTTGCACCAAGTCGTTCACGCAATTGGCCCACCTGCAGAAACACCACTTGGTACATACAGGCGAAAGACCACACGAATGTGGCATTTGCAAGAAGCGATTCTCCTCCACTTCAAACCTTAAGACTCATTTAAGACTGCATAGCGGCCAAAAGCCCTACGCGTGCGATTTTTGTCCCGCCAAATTCACACAATTTGTCCATTTGAAGCTGCATAAAAGGCTGCATACTAATGAGAGGCCGTATATTTGTCAAGAGTGCGGCAAAAATTATATCAGTGCGTCAGGCTTGAGGACACATTGGAAGACTACGAGTTGTAGGCCGAATAACATTGATGAGGAGTTGAACGGCGAAGGATCGCCCAATGGGTACTACGACTACGCTGGATCGGATGGGAGCTTAGGTCCGTAATGATGTTTTACTGAAATGCGATTGTTATCTCGAAATTTTYAGGATCGATAGATATGAATAAGGAAATTCATGAGGATTCGAAGGAGTTCCTGGAGGTGCATTCTCAGCAGCAGGCGCCGATGGGCCACGCCGTGTTGCACCCTGGTCTCTCGAGGCCTTTGCCCCCGGGGCTGCAGAGCCAGCAGCGACAGCCCCCGCAGCCCTCCATCCATCCCGGGAAAGAGACGCGGCCCAGCGTGATCGAGTCGTCCCAACCCCACATAATTGAATGTACCTAAGATGTATTCCTGCTCATGTAGTGTAGTTTTGTTAAGTTTTTTAAGATTTATTTATTACTAGGCTAGTACTGAGGTAATAAAGTGTGTTCACGATGGGACTGGACACGGCGTTCGAATGAATATAAATAAGAAATTTAATTTAATTTTCTAAAGATACTCATTGCGATTTTGTTGAGATAATTTATTGATCTATTTATTGATAGTTATTTTATAAAAGTATTTTATGGAATTAACCGAATTTTGACTTTAGACTGATCACGTATAAAGCAATACTATTTATGACTTGCACGAAATTGTCTAGACTTGTGTATTTATTTGTATTTGAATGTTTTAGGAGAAAATAGGTCGTTTTTACGTTGTAGATTTTGTATTGAATGTGTTTGCAGTTTATATACATTAACGTATTCGACATGTATCGATGGTACTTGATTGGATACTCGTCTTTAACTTCATATTGAGAAACTACATCACACTTTTCAGTTAAACGTAAATTCATGACAGTTTTTTCAATTTACTGCAAGCGTAGTTGCTTGATATGCTGTTAAATCCATAACTTACTTATGTTAGAATATATCCAAATAAGTATAAACCAAATAAGATCATCCTCTTCATGTACTACTACTATTTATACATGTAAAGTTCAATGTATGTAATTGCATAAATCTAAATGGTGCTTGTGACTTGTTTAATTTAAGTGTGTATGAAATTCCTGAAGCTTAGCAGTGGAAATTTATTTGTCTGCTTGCACTAAAACAAAAATCAGTATTAAGTTGATTCGAATCGTAAATACTGTACATCATCGATCATTTTTTGTAAAAACATATTTTTGTATATTTCGTTTCATATGTATATAATTTCAATTTTAGGTACCTACTTGAAATTAATGTAAATTATTGTAAATTTCAATTGTGAATATTTTTAAAATTAGCGACAAAACTTGCCTTGTACATAAAAATTATTTATTCATTCGATTTATTGTCTTTTCACAAATTCGAAATCCTTCATTTACTTTTCCTACAGTTTTGTTTTTTTTTAAGTTATTTGAAATAACACACAATAGTATAATACGATTATTATTAATGTAGTATGTACTATGTACAATAAGATTTGTTTTTTATTTGTTATTTAGTTGTACTCTGTAAGTTATTTATTTCTTCTTTTTCATATTACTTGTTTACAAAATTTTGAACTGAATAAATAGCGGTGTTTGCATCATTGTCAATGAAAAATTAGTTTAGGTGGGTACCTTTTTTTTGTTATTACAAAGGTATGATTTTATAACGTCTCATCATTTCAACCCTCTCTCATTTCTCCCGCATTATTTAAGTCGTACGTGTTAGTCTTAGAAATGTTCGCTATTTATTTGTCGTAGTTGTTTAATTATCCATTTGGAACTGTTACATTCAAAATATTTTGGTATATCTCGTGCATGTAAAAATGTTCATATGAGTATTAAAACATAAAAATTACCACTGACTTTTTATTAGTCCAACACTCACTTCTTTAGAAAAAGTATAATTTTTATTGAGTAATAGATTTATAAATTGTTACTATACTAAAGTTAAAATATGTATGTATGCAACGTATGCAAGACTAATGAATTTTAAAAGACTTAAATGTTAAAAGAAAAATTGTTGTATCCATTTTTGAGATTGTACTTATTATCAATATTTTAATAATTATTTTTAATAATTAAATTTAATACTTAATTTAGATAATAAAAAATTATTAAATTAAATTAACAAAAATAGAAAATTACAGAAAACATACCTACCTAGAAAAAGTAATTTCCACTGAACACAAGATGGCACTTTTGTATTAAGGTTGAAATTCAATTAATCAAACAACAAGTAGTAACACTTTTTGACTTTTATATAAAAAAGCGAATTCAAGAACAATTAAAAGTGCGACTATAAAAATTAAACAAACACGTCATAGAGATTTCTATGTAGAGTCAAAACTTTGTACTCGAGGTGGCACTACTGTCCGCTTTACCATATTGATGTTTTTCTAAGAAAAGAATGATAATGGCATCTACATTCCATCTAGGGAGAGCATTGACTTCTTTGTATAAGTTTAGAACTTTAGAATATAAAATAAATAATAAATAAAAATTTAATTGTATAGTTATGGTATAGGTATATTGGTAAATAATTTAATGGGGTACGTAATTATTTAAACAATACCTAAACCTACTCGTAAGTTCTTAAATCACATAGGTATGAATACCTACTAAAGAACTAATAAAAAATTCTGCTGTTTTTCTCGTTGAGGTATACCAAATTTCAATAGTTTCAGAACTTTCAGATAACTTAAAGTTTGTTTTTAAAAACATCCCTACGTAAAATAAGCATTTTCATTAAAAATTAAAATTAAATTAAAATGTGTATTGTTGCACTTACAAAAAAATTAATACCTAGTTATTGTTTCTGATAAATAGAGAATTCCTACTTACGTGTGATAGGCCAAAATAAATAAAAATATCGTCCATTGTAATTGGTACAAGTAAAGAATTAATTAAGCAATTATTGTAATTAATTCGTTTACTATTCGTATTATGTATCTGCAAGTAGAAAATTTTATTACAAAACATAAAATGACAAAGTTTTGTAAGTATTACAAATATGTAATGATGAATGTATGTATCTACCTATATATCCTTGAAGAAATAAAAACTAAATTTAATAAAAAGTATAAGCGGATAATACTTATTATATCTATATGTATAAGAAAAATTGGTTGCCATAAGCTGTGGCAGTGTGCTTATGAAAAATTAAAGAAAAACCTCTTTCAGGCGGACATCTAAATTTTTTATCCGGAATGTACCTGCCTGAAACGAGGATTTGAAATAAATCGGAGAAAGTTTCAGCGTGGAGAATAATGGCATTGGTCCAAGTAAAACAGTTAAAAAACAGGGGGAAACTTTTCACCCTCTTTTTACGAACCAATCGCAATTTTGAAAAGAGGGGAATTTTAACCAATGAAATCAGCCGATGACTCAGATGAAATTATTATTTGATATTGATTGCCACAAAATCTCATGATAGATACTGTATTGAGATAAAATCCTTCGAATCGTTCGAAAAAGTTTAACCAGAAAACAGCGGCGACCTGTTGACTAATTAATGGGCAGATGTCCAGACCATCAGCCGGCCACTTCGGATCATCTTTCCTGCATTAAACAGCCAATTTTGTCAAATATTTGCCCCAGATTGGGTGGCGCGTGCCTTGCAAAAATTACCAAAAAAACTGTGCAGGGGGCAACGGTCAAATCCATCCGGAGAAACACAATGAATTTTTTTGTGAGAATAATACGAGGGATCAAAATATTTTTTATAGGGGCATGCAAATCCTAATCTCTGCCATTCAGCTAATTTTATGGATGTTATCGGTGGTGGGAAAAAAATAGAAAAACATAAATCAAACTAAGGGTTGGTTTCTGTTATTACGACTAAACAAATATTTTTTATTATTTTGCATTTTGAGAGACACTTTACGCACTTTAATCTTGCAAATAGACCCATCAACCAAATTTTTGACAGCTAGTCGACTTGCCCAACAGTTCCACAAATACAATTGAAAAGTGATCACTCATATTCGATCCAAAGCCCACTCACACATTGTGGTTTCCTGAAAACATGAAAAGCCCATCTTCCTTTGTCAAATTTGTTTAGCAATAATCATAACTAGACCATTGTGGTCCTGACTTGCACAATTCTGTACTTCGTGCCCTTATCTCCCGATGCGGATTTTGTCGGCATTCCGGTGAAATGGCAATTACTGAACTTTTGCGTTGCATCCAGCTGAATCTTTGTATTTGCATCCAAATCCATCTATTCACCTGGTCACTTCCATGGCCATCTGCTGTCATTGTGGTGTTGAAATGACCCACCACCGCATTAGCAAGGACAAGAGCACAATACTGCAAAATGGGGGACCGAATATACAGGGCGAAAAAATTTCTTTTTCACAGTAAACAACCGAAAGTTACAAATATGTTAATGGAGCAGTTGTTTTATCGGCCACTCTGTGCGTATTAATGCGACAATTTAAAGTGAAAAATGTTTCCGAAAATCATTACGTTTTATCTGGGCATATTTTCGACGACAAGAGCTAGTAAGAAATTCTCTGAAAAGCTGGAAAGCTATTGTTACACTGTACTGACCACCCCTGATCGGTGATTGACAGTTCGTATTGTTCGAGCGTTTGTTCTTTGGAAGGAGAATCTAAGTGCTTTTGACGTATGGCAAACAATTAGACGGATTTTTGCATATTGTTTAAGATGTCAATCATTGTGTTTTTGTTACATTTGTTGGGGGAGATGTGTGCGATTGATGGATCATTGATCGAAGCTTTTCCCAGAAATAAGTTGTTAAGAACATTACGAGAAATAGAATCATTTAAATTGGAATTCTGAAATAGACTCAGAAGACCGAAAGACGTTTGTTTATTAGAATTAGGCTATTGGGTGGTATACTCCAAAAAACTAGTAACAGAGCTTGCTGTATTCTTATCCAAAAATAAAGCTAGCAGGTGATTTCTTAGACAATTCAATGAAAAAACCGTCAAATATTTTTCGTTTCCAAAATGAAATTAAAACAAATACCTACATACTACAAAAAGATTCAAGTTTTGCATGTTGACAGTAACAAAGTCGAGGAATTACGTAAAATTACTTTTCATTCATAACTAAATATTTTTAAAATTTACGAAAATTCAAATATTATAGGTAATTTCCTGTTAATGATTTTTTTTATTTTCAGATTTTCGTCTGTTCCTGCTGCTGATTACGGGGTATACCTATGTTTACAAAATAAGATGAATGAACCCTCAAATCTATTTTGTTGATAAATCTATATTGTGTTTTGCATTTTAAAAATACAGTCTACGAAAGTACCAAGTTATAAATCGACTGGTTTACTAATTTGTTTTCTACAATGGTTTTTTAAACTCTTGTTTTGCAAAAATTAATTTAAATATCATTGGTTTAGCCCCACAGTGATTTTTAAATTGTTATTTTCTAAATTGTGGCAAAACTGTACCTCAAACGTTATGCATACATAGGTATGTAAAATATTCCGAAAAATCGATTGGCGTCGAGAAAAACTGTAAAATTCTTGATCGTTTAGAAGTTATAGTTGAATTAATATTTTAGATATTTTTGACTTTATCAGCAATTTTCTCGATAGCTATATTTAACGTAGGACAATTATATTTTTTTATGATAATAAATTAAATTTGCTTTTCAACGGTACCAAACAAAGAGGAGCGTCAATAATTCCAAAGTTATTAGCAATAAACCGCTCCGAGCACCGAAAATAGCCCAAAATTTTAACAAAAATCGAAAAAATGAAAAAAATTAAAATTAAATGTAAAAGTGCAAAAAATACATTTTTGACAAATTTTCTGTAAGTCTGTATGGTTATATTAAATTTAAACATTAAAAGATCCCGCTTTCAGTCAGGTAGGTTCAGGGTTCGAACCCCACTCAAGCCAGCAATTTTTCACTAATTTAAATTAAAATACTAACTCAAATTAGCAATAAAAGATGGCGGGCGCTCAAGAGAGCTAACTTTAAAACATGTGCACAGCAAATAAGAACGCAAAGCAAAATGAAAAAGTGAAAAAAAATACTAACTTAAATAAGCACTAAAGGATGGCGGGCGTATAAGAGCGCGATCTTTATAACATGTACATGATGTACAAAAGTGTTAATAGTGTAATAACTTAATAGTGTTAAGTAAAAAAAAAAGTAAGCTTAAAGAAAAGGTAAGTTTTGTAACAAAAATAAAGAATAGTATATTAAAGTACAAGTTGCAGAAGGTATTTATTCAAGCACAAATTTGAAATTCCGAAACGAGCCGCGAAGCGGCGAGTTGAGGAACAAATGAGTGCTTGAAGAACCTTCTGCAACAAGTGCTTTATWCTATTTTTYMTATTTCGCCGCTTTATATCATTTTATAAATTAAAAAACGAAAATTATTTTTTTTTTCTAGAGAATTTTGCGACGGTTGGTGACATTTATGTGTGGAATAATTTTAGGCAGCTGTAAAAAAATAAAAATTATTCTAATTTTCACATTTGAAAATGAATTGTGAAGAAAGTCCGTCACTAAAATTAAATTACCGCGAACGACTTATTCCAGCACGCAAGTGACGTCATTTGCGTGCTGGAATAGACCTATTCTAACACCGAAATAGAAAAATGATTTTTTTTTTATTAATTATTATTATTATTACAAATCATAGTAATACAAGATTCAAATAAATGTAAAAGATAAGAACACCAGAGCTTTAAAACATACCCATAAGTGTAAGTACTAGTGAAATAGATATACAGTCAAATTTACAAAGGTGTAAAATTCTACACAACAAGAATTTAAATTAAAACGTAAGTATTTTTAAAAATTTTGCACCAGTAGTCGAATTAAGAGTTGTTTTCGAGACTTTTAAACACATACCTACTTATTATGATAAAAATAAACGTACACTTTGCATACTGCTGTAATAAACAAAGATCTGTACCTAATTATTATTAAAAATACACTTAATTAATAACTTATTAATTACGACGCTTATGATGATACGCTGTTGGTTTCACTTTTTAGTTTTTCCTGCAAAAGTCGTGAGTATGAAGAAACAGGAATCCAAGTTGAGAGCGGTTATCTCCACTTAAATGTTATTTCAGAGCAGTTCTAAACACGTTAATCAATACAAAGATAAATATGAGGGGTAGCGGAAATGGGAGGCGGAGTTACCGCCTGTCGACACCAAATTCATATTCTCCCAAACTCGCGAGATAAGTCTAAGTAAATAAAAATAATTTATCTGAGATTCCCGGAAATCCTAAAACCGTTCGATCCGCCTATTAGCGTCAACCATATTTCCCGACGATTTTGATAAAATTTTTCTGGAAATTTCCACTTTGGAGAAAGGCGACTCAGTCAACATTTGGTTGTTTACACGGCGACCTCCTCTCCAATTCGTCCGCTGCTCTCCCACCAAAGTCGGCTTATTATTCGCGACCTCTCCTGCTCACCATTGCAAATTTTAGAGCGATTCGCGAATGATAAAAAACAGGGGGACGCCATTTTGTCGGCAGCCGCGACCATTCCTGCTGCAATAATGCGCTTTCAAAGCGATTTTATGCGCTTTATTGGAACGTCAAGACACGGATAATTTGCGTAGATGTTTAGGGAGCTTTTTTCAGTTGAAGAAAGAGCCTAGTCGATATAATTACGGTGTTTGAACACAGCGAGAAATAATTCGGCTTCCGGAAGGCTTTGTGGCTTTCAATGAGCCATCAAACCATCAGAAAGACGGTGATGAGGGCCATTGCACACCAAAAATAAAGTTTACATTTCAATTGTTATATTGAGAAAAAAAAAGAATACATAAAATTATACTGAGTGTACTTCACTTACTTAAATAAAAACTGAAATCTAAAATAAAAAACACTACTTCGAATTCAATTTTATAAAGCACCACATATGTCATTAAAAAAGACAAATCCTTAGTGAAGGGTATTTATTATTAAATGATGAGCTTTATTATAATTTTTTTTATATTATGCCGACGTGAAATCCAGATTTTCGTAAAAAAATTTAAACCTAGACCTTTTGTGAAATAAGTGTCGACGTTTCATAAAAAGATATCAAATTTCATGAAATGAGAAAAGCATTTCATGAACAGAATATAGGTACTCGTACCTAGTATACACTTTTCGGGCACTACAAGCTCCATTAATCAGATTTTGATTTCTGTTACTCCTGCAGCCGGAAAAAAAATAAAAACTAATTTCCTATGTTAATTTCCTTATATCCAAGCCTACCTGAGACCCGGTATATGTAGAATAACCTAAACCCCCCTGTTTTAAAAGATGTTCGATATCCACAAATTAAATCAATTCAAGTCTGAATAAGTTGGATCTTGTAAATTTTATGATTTCAATTATCAACATATGAGTACAGAAAAGTACTACTTTACAGACTACTTTATTCGTTCATTTTGTGAACGATTTCAACTTCATTAAACTAGTTTTTAAAAGATGTTTACTGTTTTTTTCATTATGTCAAGCAATTTACCGCTCCGTGAGCTCATGATTTAACGAGCAATGACACTTCTGAACTTGATCTAGATTCGTAAGTATTTATTATTTATTTCATAGTTATATGACAGTAATACCTACAAATGTTATACAAGGTATACGTACGTTGTAATCCTTATACGTACAATTGGTTTCAATAGCAGTATAAGATAAACGTCACTTTATTAGTGTTTTTTTTTATAGATTTTTACGGAATTTAAATAGGGAGGTTAGAATATTATGACAAGTAGGTATATAAGACCCTTTAACAACCGTACTTACTCCTTACTATACTGCACTGTTCTTCTATATTCYAAATTTTTGACTGTTTTACATGATGTAAATTATAGCTTGTCTCGTTTTTTATGAAACCAGTTGTACATACGTATACATCAGGAACTTGAAATACTATTTCTGCTTCTTAAAATTTTATTCTGAAAAAATTTTTACGTACTTACATAAGCTTAACATTTAAAAAAATACAAATAATAAATACTCGGATTGCGAATTTGTATATCTTAAGACAAGATTATCATCTCAGATGTGTCTTTTTCTTGGTCCTCTCGGGCATTTATCAGAAAAATTCAATTAGTCCGTGCCCGAAGAGACAACCTTCGCTGTAAAAACTCTCACGCTATCAGTAAAAAATCCCAATTAGTTTTAATACCCCCCGTATATAAAAGTGCACAAGAGTTTCCCGGCGTGCGAATCCGCCCAAGTCATAGTTTGGCGAAGGCTGGATTTCAAGGGGCTGCTTTCGAGATAAATCACCAAGTATTTTGAGATTGRGGGTCCGCAGCGTGCGTATGTTTAGGGTGGGGGTGTTTCTCAGATTAGTGCGTGGTCCTCGTGCCGGCCGGGTCGGGGTAGCTACTCTACACTGATAGGCGTTAGGTTGTCATGCCCTAGTAGGAAATACCTCGTGTTTGTTTTTTTACCTGTGTGTGCTGTTTTACAATTTTTGTACCTGAGATTAAGAGTTGTGTGRCGTGGGTGAAAGTGTTAGGGTTTGTTCAATACGAGAGTATACGTTTGAAGGTAAGCTGATATAGCTTAAAAAAATCAAGAAAGAGTGGAAGATATTTTTAAAGGCATTTTATAATACCTGTTAAACAACTTGTTTATAAGGACAGAGCGCATGTATGGATTGCTTGGATTTATGAAGCAAAAGGTTACGGCTCAGAGAAAAATTAAACCCCCGCATTTTTTCTTTGTCATTTAAAGGTTCCATATGACGGTTGTAACAGCAGATGAAGACAGTGGAGTGGAGATGTCACATCCTAGAGCTGATAATGGTAAGTTTTGTTGTTTTCTCGACGTTTCATCGATATTAATCCCTTTATTTTTGTTGTCTGCTTTAGAAAAAATGTCTCCTTCAATACTATTTTTTTTTCATATTGATATAATTAAATGTAACTAAAATGTTAGTAAAAATGTCTTTCTGAGAAATTGCTGATCAAAAAACTCTTAGTTTATTTTCTCGCGCAAGCGGATAAAGCAATCAACTTTTATGGGAATTTGTTACTCAATTAATTATTAATAATTATTAACACTCCATAAACTGAGTAGACGACGTGAAAGAGAATCAATGTACAGTCAGGGAAATAAATAATAATCCAACTTCTATTTTTTTCTGGAAAATAAAACAAATAGAACCAAAATTTTCAAAACTAACGTCTTACAAAAGTTTTACCTAAACAGAAATTTTTCAAATGCAGAAATTGTTGGTTTCTTATTTCATCCTTAATCTTTCATTTTGCCAAAATAAAAATAAACCTAGCTTTTCTGTGAAAAATATTAAATAACACATTTAAGATGAAGTAAAAAAATGTTTAATGGTTTRTTATGGTCAGTTGGACAGGAAACTTTTTTATTTTTAAAGATCCTCAATAAAAATTTGTTTTGTCCTGCAGAACAACAGTTTAGAAACCGTTTTTATTTGGACAGACGTGCTGTAATATCCAAWCTRTAATAAAATAAAAACTGCTTTAAATTTTAATGAAGCTAAGCCGCTTTATCCAGTGCAGTTCGCATTTGTAGGCCACTTTCAAGCTGGTGCATTCTTCCTTTGGAATTTGAACGGCAGAGGGGGACCAGAGGGGACTAGCTTAATTAAAAAGCAAAGTCTGTTTTAGCTCCMGAWGCTCAAMTTCAACTTCAATTTTTCCATCACGAAAAATTTTACACTCTATAACATCTCAGTCCAAATATTCCGGTTCGACCTTCACTCGAAGGGCCTAGGTCTATTTCTGGGAATCGCCCTAGTCCAATTCTTGTCACCGTCGAGCGGCACACACATTTTCAGGGGTTTGGTATGTCGGTTCAATGGATCATCTCTCTCATTTTGGCAGAGTCGTTACTAATGTGTTTTTTATCCCGAATGTTGTTGTCATAATAGAGTTATTTCCGGTGTGTGTCACGAAAAAACACAAGCAAAAACATGGGTTGTAAAATCGTATTCTTGAGATGCTCTAGATTATAAAGGTTAAATTAAAGGTTTTACCATCCGTGATGACATTTTTGTCGATTATTTTATTTATCTACTCGTTTGTTTGCTATTTTGATGGTGTAAACAGGTCATTTTACGCGAAGATCAACCTTATCACAGGAAGGTTTTCATTTGGAACGACCATTGGCGTAGAGAACATATACATTACTAATCTTTTGTCATATTTTCGTTTCATAAGAAAAGTACTTCAAAATTTATATTACAAAGTTATTTATAAAATGACATATAATATCGTATTTGAAATGAAACATTTTTTAGGATGAAACAAAGAATGTAGGTTGTAAGTATAATTACGAAAATTTCTCAGATATCTCAAAATATAAAAGCGAAAAAGCTWCTCATRTATTGTTTTTTGCACGTCTTTTCGTCCAGATGGCTTTTGTATGAGCAGAAAGCGGACAATTTATTTTCGTTAGACTTTTACTTATATTTTCTTTCTTGTAAAAGCAATACAAGTATTCATTTAAGTTGTATTCTATCTTTTTAATAATTTGGATATACCTAATATGTATTAGGTATAATAAATAGGTACATTATAACGATGTTTCTATGAACATTTCCATGTTCATACAACAAAAATTGGTATGAAAATTGATACCTACGTACAGGACCGGTATAACGTAGTAAAAAAATAAAATTAAGTTTTATTAAAGTTTGATACGCAAAAAATATAAAATATTATTTGCTTTGTTTTCAATTCTGGATATAACTTTAAAACTGATTCTTAAAATTTTGTGTACTGGCTGTATAGCTTTAATAAAAATGTAGCCTTTCTATACTTATTTTGAATCTAAAAAAATATAATTCCATGATCATTGTATTTTTATTTTGTTAATAATTAAAAAAATCTCTTTGATATCCTTCTGATTTGGAACTAAATAACTGATAAAATTATTTACTAAGTTATTCACTTAAGAAGTCCATAAAATCCACGTGCTAATGATCCTTTATCCATATCTTTCCGTACAGTTTATCAAAAAAAGAAAAATTTTAGATCCTAGTTTCTCATCCATAGTTAACCCCCTATAAAGTGGCAAAATACGCAGTAACACACTTATTACCGTTTCTACCAAAGTTTTCCAATATGGAGCCATGCATTTCCGTTTATCAAAGCCGGTACTCAGTGGTAGATAACATATCAGTTACGATGCATTTCGTAATACATTCGACCATAATATGTKTCATTCATATCTCAATTTTATGATGACGTGGAATCCCAACTTGTTTGTTGTTTACAAAAAAGGTCTCAACTTTATGTCTAAATTTATAATTCYAAAAGAAAAACCCATAAATTTTCCTTTCACACTTTCTTCTCATCTTATGAATTGAGATGTCTTTAACGCACGACCAGTTTCTTTTTCCTATAAATTGAAATTTAATTGAAATACCGATGAAAAATGCCCTTACGAGCAACCTTTAACGCGAAAATAACGTTAGTGTTTGTGTTGTTTCCCTCACAGTCTATTTTTATTTTTTGCAAACAGTTTAATATAATTTGGAGTTATAAATTGGGGGTGCGCCATTACAAGTTATAGGGCGTCTCTAGGCAACCACCAATCATATTCGGCGTCGTTTATGACGTCACTAATGCGAATTTTCAGCGAGGGTGTGTAATCAATACCGTAAAATATTAATAAAGGGAGGTGAAGGGACGACTTGGCCATTTTACAATGGCCGAAAACAGGCTTTGTTAGTAGTTTTATCTACTCATCACGTAGGAAGAGATTGATGAATATTAAGAGGSACGAATTATATGCAATCGGCGTTTGACGAATTCCTACACATTAAAATACCTMAGTAGAAGTTAATTTCACCTTCAAATTCCCCGAAATGAGTAATGCGAGGTGCTGARAAACTTATTCTTGCAAGAATAAACGACACCAAATCTCTCATCTCAATCAATTACAATATGTAYTTCCGTTTTTCTMGCATTTGAATAAGATTGTTGTTAGCAAAAAAACAATTTTGTAACTATGGTCATTATAGGTATGATAAGATGATGTAGRAACAACAAATATKTAAATGAAAAAAATAAGAAGTATTAAGTTTTTGTTAATATTTTTAGTTGCTATAAAAKCTATATTAGTATTCAGTGCTTCACAAAGATTTAACTTGATAGGCAAGGCAACAGGAAATTGCTTATTTATAGTTAATTTAATTTTGGCCTATGCAAGTCATTACCCCAAAGCCCAAAGAATATTTTTTCAAATTTTAAAAAGTTGATTAAATGTATCATTTGTTATTGAAAACTGCAAACTGGATAAAAACTGTTAATTATTTGTGGAGGAATGGAACTTCTAAGTAGTTTAAAACTTTGATTGAGTTAAACTTTGACAAGTTTACGGTTATGAAGCTTTTAAGAAAAAGTTTTTACAAGTTCGAAAATTAATAAAGTTATAAAAATCCCAACAGTATTATATTTTTTTTAATAAAACGTCTCAAACATTTTACTTTCTTTATTTTTTATAAGCAAACATAATAATAAACATTTATTAAAAAAATAAAATATTTATCTTAATATCTAATTTGTTGCACTGATCCTTCTAAATTTTCCATAATCAGATTTTAATTTAACGTTATATTTAAAATAAGGATACCACACAAAAACTATCTATCGACTTCTTTTTACTTAAATATATTAAAAGAAGATTGTTAGGAAAGAAGATTTGAATCAAATGAAAAGTTAGTTGTTATTCTTGATAACTATTTTTTTTTATAGTGGTACATTTGAAGAAAGGTTGAAAATAATGTATTGACGGTGAAAAAATTAAATTTTCATTAAATTCATAGTTAGGTAGATTTCTATCTGAATAGCCCTTGTATTCTAAAGTGCCTATCTATAAAAAATAATACTCCTACTATTTTTTTATGTTAATTAAAGCTCACTCATTTTTAATAACTTCTAACTTCTCGTTATTAAAAATTATCATTAACTCTGACAACATATTCCTAAAAGGCCCCACTGTGTTTTGAGGTGGTTTAAACAAAATACAAAATAGTCATTAATRATTTCTATATTTCACTAAAATAARATTAAATGCGATTACAAAAATTATTATTAATTTTTATTAAAAAAAAGAATAAAGCTTTATCTTAAGGAAATGCAACTTTTTGACCGTGTGGTGGACCACACGATATGCACGCATATTCAAAGGTTAAATAAATTAACGTTCCAGAATTCTTCCATGTAATCTGATTAAATAATAAGAAGTTGTTTTGTCCCATAGAAGTCGGCGCGTATTTTCGCAAAACATAATTGACAAAACAAAGTGTGTGCATGTATTCGGTAGTAAAATACCGAGCAAATGGTAGCACATCAACAGGCYCGTGTTTATTTTTGTTTGTTTCCGARTAGCATAATTATCAAAGATATGCGTCCGAGTTTATCACGAGTAAGTCGAGGAATTTTATGAATGGTACATAACTCTATCATAGTAAACTATGTAAAAAGAAGACTTGATGTAGGCCACGGCAATTTGTGCTTTATGAAAATCGGATAGAAGGGAGAATAGAAATAGTATGCATCAGGCGAACTTTTCATTGGCCCGGATGTTTTTTAAGGTTCCTTCATTCCTAGAGCGGTAGTGTGTATCTAGAAGTCCAAGAGTTCGGGCATTCCGAAATGTAGTCACGTTATGGTTTAGAAAATTTTTTCCTTTTAGTTGTTCCATTTGTTGGTTTTGATTGTTTCGTATTTTTGCGTTAATGGAGAGTGAGCTGGAAAATGGAAAAGGTACGTCAATTCACATAACCTTCGACACACTTTATTTTAAATTATGCGCATTTCGTACTTTGTTTTGTTTACACATTACACCAATAAACGCAGTTGTTTACCACACAACCATTCCGCCTCTATTCGAATTTCTAACCCTCTCGTTATACATTATTCCGGAAAGAAGCATTTCATTTCGGATCATTTTCGGATTAATGAACATGTGGCCCTTCGAAGACCGCCCTAAAAGCGCCACATGTCCAACGCTCGACACTTTTCACAACATTTTTTAACACTAATTAAGCAAATAAAAGCGTCGGAAGCTATTTTGCCCCAAATTAGTTAATTAGGAATGCGTTACGCACTGTGCCAAATTTGRTATTAATACGATTATAAATTCATGTTTTCTTAGTCGAGCGATAATTACAGGGTTTAGTTAAAAAAATAACGATGTGCTAGGGTAAAAATCGATTGGTACGCATTTCCGGCAGGTGATTCGACTTAAGATATGATTAAAAAATTCGTAGAAARTTMAAATTTGTGCGTGAGTAATGCGTCCAGAGAAATATTATAAATGACAATGAATCACTTTAATTGTGATTCATTTAAATCGATTTGGTTGTATTTTCTTTGTGTTTGGACGACCTTGCTCTATGGAAAGTTGGTTTAAATTATTGGTAAACAATTTGTGAAATCTTGTAATAACTGCACCGACGATTGAGGACATTCCACAACAAATTCTCTCACCTTYACACGCTAATTTAATTAGATTAGAGATAATTTCTTCGGCCGAATGCACGAATTTGAAAATTTGCCGGTSCTGTGSCATGGGGGACGCGACTCGGCAGGTCGAAAATGGCATGGGAAATGTCCCGGGTCTGTGAAGGGTGCTTTCTAACCCAAACTGCGTTCAATGCACTTTATAATCTATTTTAAGACGCCGAAGGTACGACCCGGTCGTACCATTGGAGTGCCTTCTACGGATGCAACCGCGACAATATATATAAACCTAATTACTTCCCGAGAACGGAAARATTAAAAATGCTGCCCCCATTGTSTCTATTATTTTAATTTCGAAGCAGMAAATTTSGGTAAAATTCCTCAAAAAATWRARCGAGGACAAAAATCGCCTGCACGCCACTGTCCTAGGTAACTAGATATTTGGGCAGGTATTGTTGGAAACTACCCCTGTCAAGCAACCCTTGTACTGGCCCGGCTGCATCCTCAAACGGGCCATTGTAGTAACCGCGGGAAAATATAACCGCTCCTTCAACGTGTATTTTATTCACCAATTTTTTCCAACTAGACGTTACGAAAATACTCAAGACTGCGTATCCTGTCTAGGATTCTATCTCGGGGCTATTGTTATGATTATGTGGAGCAGTTTCCACAAACTTGTTTTTTTTAATGACATCCCCTATGATTTGGAAAAAAGACGAAATTTGGCGAGCGTCAAACGGTTTTGCTACCGCAAAAATAGCCGAAAACTGAAGATGACTAAAATTTCGCAGAATGTTTTGAATTGTCKGTTAATTAATTAAATTTAATTAATATCACTAACAGCTTCCTATTTGATTCAGATATTCTATGACTAATGCGATTACAAATAGAAAAAATATTTTAGAAGGTCAATTTATGTCACTCCCTGATTCTAAAAAGTGCAGGGTCGCTCAAAAATATTTTCTGTAACTTTTCATTTTTATAAAAAAAAGCTTTCTAAGCTTAACTGAAATTCAGTTTTACTATAGATTTTATTAGGTCTATTTATTAGAATACTTTTTTTACCTTATTTTGGGTATAAATGAAGATATCGTAAAAGACACTGATAAAACAGTGTTTAAATATTCATAAACATTTTTGATAAAACTACTGTTTGAAGGTGAATAACTACCTAATAGTTATTTAAACAAATATGTGAGTCATGTTTCTAAAAATTTCGTTTTGTAGAAATTCAAGAGGTTTAAAATGTTCTCATTTACGATCCATTTCATTTCATAGAAAATCATCTTCAGATATTAATTTTAAGTTACAAATTTCGTAAAAAATAATTGCAATTATAAAATCAAATTTTTGTGTTTTCATTTCACTGTAAACCACAAAGAGTTAGCATTAATTAACGGCAAACTTTTGAATTTTGTAATGTCAAAGTAACATGTTTTCTATTTTTTATTTCCAGAACTTCTAATTTTAAATAATAAATCCAAGAAAAATTATCGTCCAAGTTTTGATCTCAGTACAAAAATCGACCAAAATTGATATTTTTATACCATATTTATTAAAAGTAAAGTTTAGTGCGCGGTCTCTGACATTATTTTTTTCAACACTGAAATTTCTAAACAATTCCTATATAAAAGAGAAATAAATAGAATGTAAGAACCGAAAAGAGTAAAAATTGTGTTATTATTTTCTTGGTTAAAATGTATGTACATGTTAAGTCGGCTAAAAGTATATTTTTTTGAAACTCAGGTTTTATTGTTTTAGTTTATGTATTAGAAGAGTAGGTTTTATCTTTTAGCTAACCATGGCTGTTATTAGAAAATCAAAATAAACTTAAGTTGAATTTTGAAAGACCTTTTCTGAAAAAAAAAATGCATGTTAAAGATGTTTCCTTGTAATAAAATAAATACATTTTTAGAATTACTTACAGCGACATAATGTTTCATTTAATTTGTTGACCCACATTTTAAACCTCTACACACAGGTTGCTTCACTTAAATCGCAAAAAGGGTTAACGTTATAACGGAATGTTGGTGATAAGAACCAGAATGAAGAAAATATTTGTTTTGAATCAGGAACATAACAAATATTTTGAATATTTTTATCATTTCCGGTTTAATCTAGGATTTTTTAATACTTAGAAAGGTTTTGTTGAATTTGTGTATTCAGTTGATGGCGCCCGAAATTTTAGATAATAATCGAAGTTCAAATAGCAGAAAGTGGTAAAAAATATGGTAACTCTAAAAGCGTTGGCGTAGAAACAACAATTTAATCCTTTCGTTATTTTCTTTTCTTTAATATTTTTTATTTCATTGCTTTTGTACATCAACGAGCAGTTGACATTCTGAACTACTTTCCTAATATCTAAAAAAACTACTTGCAAAAAGAGCTAGTAAAAGATCATCCCATCCAAAATTGTAAAATTTTTAAAAGGATTGTAATTTATTACACCTTTATAAACAGATATCAAAAAAAAATGATTTATTTAAAATCCCTAAGATTAAAAAATTATTAAATATATTGACTGGATATGCAGTTTTGTACATATATATGGCTAGCTATTCTTACAGTTTATTTCGTGTAAACAGTTTAGTCAAAAAATTCCCCGAAAAAGATCCGTTTTTGATAAACTCGGCTTAGACGCCTAGTTGAGAATAGATAATAGTGCCTATCTGCAACTATCGTAATCGTCATCTATTATGTAGATGATGATTATACACAGAGCGCGAACGTTCTATTTCAAATTTCCGGTGTTTAATTAAGTTCTAGTTAAGTTAATTAGCTAATCACATGGTAATTTTTGCAGGATCCGAAGGCGGAAGTGCAAGCCAAGGAGGTTCAGAAGCTAGTTTCGGTCTTCGAAGGGGGAAATGCAAATGGTTTAACGTAGCGAAAGGCTGGGGCTTCATAACCCCRGACGATGGGGGCCAAGACGTTTTCGTCCATCAGGTAATCTATAGACCAACTGTCCGGAAATTTTGACAACAGGAAAATTGCTGCTTCAAGTCACTGACCCTCGTTATGGGTATAGAAAGCTATCAGTTTCGCCCTTTGAGCGTTTTTTTAATGCAAATTTTCATAAGCAACTAAAAAACCGACGTTTATATAACAATAAATCACAGCTAGCAAGTTCCAGSCCTGACAAGTTGCACACATGACAATAAAATCTAATAACAATCGCCAATATACTTGTTGGGTGGACCTGTTGGTAAAAAACGGGAAAGTATATAGAGGGTAGTACACAAAGCCCTCTCATGTCCCGTTAAGTACCTGACTATTATGTTGATTGGCTCAATACACGCGGTTATTTTTTATAAATACCAGCTTTTGGAACGAGTTTACCAATGGACGGCCGATCCATAAGGGAATTTCATTCACGATTCAATCATTTTGTTTCGAAATAAATCTGATACTGTCTTGAATAATGAATAATAAACGCTCCCTTTGACCGAGGCGCAGCTCTTGCTTCTTCTGCGTCTTATACAGACGAACTGAATTCGATTCTCTAATCGATGCCTAATTAATTTTTGAGTCGGTCAAACACTCAAACTTGAGGTCGTGTGAACTACTTCTCATGCACGGGGTTTCTAGTACCTAATATGTATACTTGATACGTTTCGACGGTGTTATTAATAAGCACACTCTTTAAACAACTCAACAAGTATTAAAAGCTTCATCGAGATTTGTTTCTGCTGACGTTCTAACGAAACCATTAGCAATTTCGCAAACTTTGTGAATGGTACTTTTTGGTGAATCATTGCACTTTTGGCCAAATCAAACTCTAAACATTAAAATACCAAATCAATTCCAAAAAAAAATCTGAAAGATCTGCAAAAAGATATTTTTAGAACAAATTAAAATATTTTATTTGTCTTTGTAAAAAATGCGCCACAGATAAAATGCTGAATAGCTGAATTTATACTAAAGAAGAAACTGAATTTACATTAACACAAAATTATTCAAATAATACCCATGAGTATAAAAAAATTTGCAAATAATTCAAAA